GGGGGGGGGGGGAGGGGTTGCATCCCAAAGTCACTGCTCCCCTTCTCCAGTTGGCACATCCTTACACATCTGCCTCTCTGACCTGTACCTCCAAAACCACTGCTTTCACTGAATTCAGTATTGAATTCCTATGAAGTGAGCTAATCTGGGATCGATTTGACAGTTCCTGTATTCCCTTTTTTAACAGAACAAAGAACTTAAAGCAGTGCATCTACCTGGGAAACTTGAAGACAAAATGCCAAGTGTCATCTTGTATTAAGCTTGGCAGGAAGCCTTCTCTGCCCAAATTTCTGCAAGTCCACTTTTCTAAAGACCTGGCCACTACTAACTTTTAACACCAACTAGAAAAGGAAATGTGAGAGGCTTTCCTGTATTCCATGATACCTTGCCTCTTCTAAAAGTAACTTAAGCTAACAGTCCCCAGAGTCCAATGGAAGCTCCACTGTGGACAATGGATGGCTTAACATGAAACCTGGAATAAGGAGACTATGGGTAGGATTCTGTATCTCTTTATGGGCCTCAATGAAAGTTTTCCAGTTCGGGAGAGTCATCCATTTAAACCCTGCAATTATTTCATTAATAATTTTAATGCTGACAACTCAGGGGACAGCAAAATTTTAATTGGCTCTAAAACCTCAATGAACACCGCACCACCTGTAGACTTTCCAACAATTAACTGATTGCCAACAACCTGCAATAATCTCGGTCTCCATTTAGCACAAGATAATAGCATGTCCCATATTATTAGCTATCACATTATGTTTCTGCTGCGCAAGTGCCAAGACAAGGTCCTTGCAGTTCCCCAAATCTATCTTTCTCCTCCTAAACTTCTAAACCCACTTCTGGATATATTCTATATTGCCATGACAATCGGGTCCCAGAAGTACGCAGCTCTGTTCCTGGGCATGAAATAGTCATCTATGAAGGGATCATCTGCCATTAAAATGAGCATTAGCTGTGTCCACATCATGCAAGCTGTTACATTACTCTTATCTGCAAGACATTCCATCAGTCTTCTCTGGTCCCCAGAAGCTTCTGAAATGCATGCCAATATCTCTTAGCTATGGCATATGCAGAGGCACAAAGATAAGACACAAAATAATATAATCCCCCACCCCCCAAACAAACAAACAACCCCCAACCCAAAACCTGTCTTCATGAAAAGCGGAAGCTCTTGATATTCTTGATAGTTAGGGGAAAGGGGTTCAGTCTTTGCCTGCACATAATAGCACAGTACCACATCACAAACTAGGTTACTAGGACTTGGTTCCACATTTTAGATCACTTGCTTCCACAATCCTGAAGAAGCCAAATAGCCCCAACAGCCATAGGAGACACATAGGGGAGGTATGGGGGACACTGGTCCTCGCTGGCCAGGGAGTAGGGTGCAAAAACCGGTGCCCCCCCTGAGATTGTGGGGGCGCTGAGAGAAGCACCAGTGGTACTTCTGGTTTTGCTGCCAGTACTTCCGCTGCCAGTGGCAATCAGCTACCGGGGACCACCCCCCTGGTCAGCACTGGGGAACCCCCCTCAGTTGGCAATCAGCCACTGGGGGTCTCCTGCCCCCAATCAGCAATCAGCCACTGGTGCCCCCCCATGGTATCAGGAGGCACCAGTCACCCATGCCCAAAGCACTCCGTTACTGCAAGTGTGGAGCAAGCTAATGAACTGAAGATGCTGAGTAGAAGGCCTAGTAGCTGTACTGCTTGTGATGGACACAAGCAGCACCTGTATAAGTCCAGATGTGATGGGTGCATGGTGAAGCTGAAACAGGCCTTTCCAATGCTGCCTGCTAACTACAGGGTATAATCACATGCTTTTCAAAATGTCATAAACTTATCCTGATATTATACAACTCCCCTGCTGTGGGCTTTGACAATGTAATTCTGGAGAAGTAAGGTAGGTTGCTGCACTATGGGTATGCACAATACCTAGAGTAACTGCACACCAGTGCATGGTTATTTAGTGTCACTTACTACGCATTAGCATACTAACACTGTGCAGTAGGCAATTGGGATGGTTTTTGCCATGACACACTGCTGCACAGTGTTATTAGGCTAATGCTCAGTAAGTGTCTCGTGCCCTTTGAAAAGCGAAGTGGGATCCCTCCATTTGCTCCAGGTCTTCCCTCCACTGTCTTTGTGTTTCTTTACTGAATGTTAGCATTTGAGTCTGTTAATAGGTAGGCCTCCAGGCCCTGAAAGGGATCTACTGGAAAGGCAGTAGTTGTGCTCTTGAAAATTACTGCTGTAACGTTTTGTCCTATTTTGAAAACTGTTTCTTCTTAGCCAATGCCTGCAATCAGTAAGCAAGGCTGCAATTTACCCAGGTAAATCAAATTACTGTATCATGTGTTAGAAAGATACTTGTGTTCAGGGTAGGGTTAGTTACAGCTGTCAGTTAGGCTTGATATTGTTAGGGCAATAGCCCAACTAAAATGGGCCAAATACAATTATTACATTTAGATGGGCATAATTTTATTCATCTAGCAACACAGGAGTATTGTTCCTTAGTCCATGGTCTAATTTAGGCATCTAAATATAAAGTGGCCTGATTTTCAGAACTGCTGAGCATCCACAAATCCCACTCCAATGCCAATGCTCAAGATCTCTGAAAGAGCAAGTCACTAGATGCCAAAGAGGCTTGCTCTGTACCTTGTCCCCCTGCATCCACATGGAATCCCACTTATCTTATAGTTTCATACTTTCTAGGGTCGGAAGGGACCTGAGCAGATCATCTAGTCCGC